AAAAGCCTTCAAATATTATCAAACTTCATCAAAAAAGGAATTTCTAAAAGCAAAGTACAAAGTCGCTTTTTATCATGAAAAGAAAGATGATTATAAGCGTGCAATACAGTTTTATAAAAAAGCTGCCGCACAAGGTGAGGTAGCTGCATTATATGTATGTTATTTATACTTTATTTACAGTAATATTTGTCTATTGCATATGCTATATCTTTGAATTAATATCTATTTTCATTTTTATTTATTAGAGACTCTCATTGATATATATGTTAGGTGAATTTAAACAAGTAGTAGATTTTAGACAAGCTTTGATATATTTAAAACATGCTGCTTCAAAAGCTGATGAAGATTGTCCTGATGGTGCTTATGTATATGGAATGATATTAGCTAAAGAATGGGATAGAGCCGTTGTTCCTGATGAACTTGTCTCTCCTGATGATCATGAAGCCAGAGAATTAATACTACGAGCTGCAAACTTAGGCCACGTTTCTGCTTTATTCAAGATAGGTCAATGTTATGAATATGGCACTTTAGGATTTCAATGTGATCCAATATTGTCTGTTGAATATTATAAACGAGCTGCTGAAAAAGGTCATGTTGAAGCTGATATGTCATTAAGTAAATGGTATCTTTGTGGTGCGGAAAATCTGGAACAAAACGAAGCACTTGCTTATGAGCATGCTGAAAAAGCTGCTTTGAAAGGATTGCCTACTGCTGAATTCGCTATGGGTTATTTTCATGAACATGGAGTTCATGTTCCTAAAAATTCTGGCGCTGCCATGATTTGGTACACAAAGGTAAATATTAACTCATAAGTGCACGTCATTTGTCTTAGTCTTAAAAAAAACTAACGTTTTTTAAATACGTAGGCCGCAACCCATGGTAACGAAGATGCAAGGAAAAGGTTGGCTCTTGATGATGCAGGTGTTCGTAGAGATAATGAGCCAAACAGCTTAAAAAAGGACATGCATAATGATAAGAATTGTGTTGTTCAATAGTTTCTAAAACATGGCATCGTTTAATTAACTATTTGTTGATACTAGAATTGAACATTATAATTATACTGTTAACACTAAATTGTTAAATTTTGGGTAAACTACTGCTCTATAAATTAAGCGAATGTTAAATAAAGAAAAAAAAACATTTGAGATTCTATTAATATTAATTACAATAACTAATTGTCAATATGCATATAAATAAATATATACCTAGATTTCAACTAATATCATTGTAACAATAAAATATTAACATTTATTACCAAAGCATTATCACGCCGAAATAAAATGAATCAATTTTGTATAAAAAAATTTGTATCTACAACAAAATTTGATGTTTTCATTTCCTATTATAATTCAATCGTCTATAACAATAATCCCCTCAAATTTATCTAGAGATTACTTGGTGAAAAAAGTCCATATATAACAATCTAAGCAACAATACTCAAATTTTTAATCAAATATATATCAATAAAATAACAAATTTATTATTTTTTTTATTCTATCAATTAAAATGAACCTGTGTTAACCTATAAAAATAGCAAAAATGTTAAAAGAGGTTGCTGGTACATTAAGAATTCAATCATCCTTTCTATTAACTTGTTCTACTCTACCTTATCCTTCAAATGCCCTAGCCATTGTTGGTAACTCATCACTGTATCCGTGCGATCTTCTATGATGTGTGATAAGAACCATAATCGTAACGATGGATCACCGCCATCTTCTTTTACTATATAAAGATGAGGATAATAAACACCTCGCCGTGATTCTCGAGTTTTACCAATAATTGCATTCACATGTTGTGAGAATGAATTGTCCAGTTGCAATAGGGTAACCTATATTCGAAAATAGTATATGTTAAAATACTGTGATTTTGGAATTACAAAAAAGATTATTATCTGACGCATAACATACCTTTCCAGAATGGACTTCTTCGTATGAACGAACATTCAATAAATCCATACATAATTGAGGCACTACTTGTCTACCAAGCCAGATAAAAATATTTTGGCCATCCTCTAATAAGTATGCACCATGGCGTTCTAATTTTTCACTACTTAAATTTAAGGACGGTGGCATAATTATTCCATCCGGTCCATATGTTCCAGCCTTATTAAAAAATCAATAAAATATATATGTTTTAAATCAATTTATGCTGAAACTTTTAACTTCTAGGAATCATTTAATTTGAAGTTTCTTACATCGATAGGCATGTTATGTAATGAATAAAAGCGTGGGTGTAGATATGGAATCAATAATTGAGATGGCATTGTAGTCAATAAGCACATCGCATAAGATCGTAAGTCCGTTGGAATTTGTGAACTGGCACGTAAACCGACCTAAAATATGAAAAACAATGAGAAACAAAATAATACAACAAAAAATAACACAAAACATACATGCTTAAGCAGCCCAAGTGCTAACAAAGGCAACAATTTCAGATTATTACAAATTTGTAATTGGGGCGAAGCTCCTTGAGACCCAGTAATAGCTGATTTGTATACGCCCAAAATATCAATCAACTTATTTGTTAATGCATCTCGTGCATCTTCCAATTTTGAAGATAACGACCTTTCCACCGCTTATTTGAAGAAAAAAAGAAAATAATCAAATTACGCATGAATTTTTGATATTTATCAAACATGCACTTTAGGTTTACCTTTATTTGCCAATAATGTCGATATAGCTATTTGATCGGCTGAAGCATAAAGTTCGCTTATACTATTTGTAACTGGCAATGCTAATGTTAATACACGAATCCTTCTTTCACCTATATATATTTAAGAAAAAGAGGTATCTATGAAGTTAAAATGGTTCGCTTAATAAAACTGAAGAAAAAGTCGAAACTATCATTATACCAAAGCAAGTTGTATGTAAAAGAGCAGTTTGAAAACAAACAGTTGGTGTTGTTATGTTTTCTTCTATACCAACTTCGATGGCATAAGAGTGATCTCTTGAAACATTGGGTAAAGCAAGCAGATCCGTTTGACGAACAAAGAAATTCCCGTGAAAAGCAGTCATACGCAGACCTAATCAATATTCAAAATGAATGCATGCATCATTAAAGGAAAAAAAATTTAAAATTAAAATTGCTACAAATAATCCTTGTTAAAGATTTTTACCTTTCGAAGCTCTAACACGCATTACTGCTTCCAATGCAATTGGACTAGCCAAAAATTCCGCAAATTCATGGGCAAACTTAAGAGCATCTTCTGATCTACCAGCATTAAATGCAGGATAAAAATAAGTTTGTCCACCAGTGTACCGCGGACAGCAACCTTGTATTTCATAAAAAAATAAATAAAACTGTGAGCATCAATTATAGATAATGCTTTATTATAAGCGATAAAAACCATACTTAATGTCGCTACATCAGAATACTGCGATCCGAGTAAGAACATGTCCACACAAACTTGTGATCGAGAACAATCAACAGCAAATTTTTTATAAAAAGGCTCTGCAGATTGTAAAAGAGAAGATTCCTGTGCAAATAGTTTAATGATAAATTTAATGCCCAAACACGCTTCCGACACCATAAGGTAATGCATAAAATACTTTTGGAGTCCCCAATGCTTTAGAATCTTCTCGAATTTTCAATTGTCCAGGATTAATATTTGGTAGACTAGATTGTAACACTACGATTTTACCACCTATCGGAGACTGAATTGCAAATAATTAATGGGAATATAAGTAAGCTTACAAAACCAAAATAAAACCAAATCACTATAAAAGATAAATTACAATTAATTTGAAGCCGGCCAGCAAAGCGGATCCCAGAGCGTTGCCGACAATATGTGTATCTTTGAACATATCACCAAGACGACTAAGCAACGACTCAACTACTGAACGAGCTTCAGTTAAATTGACTAATAAATCATCGGGTTGTGGAAGAAACACGTCTTCAAGGTCAGAAACCACCAACATTTGAGGTTCAGATGAGTTAGACTAAAAAAATTTCACATATGTTTAATGATGAATATTCTTCAAATATAGCTTGATTATTTAAAAGAAATAAAACAGGTACATTAAGACTGTAAAAGTGTAATGATGTATCCACTGTGATAAACCCGATCTTTGTACGATTTTCTTCGTTAGATATTCGATCTAGTGATTCCAAAATAGTCCTTGCAGCAGTTGCGACAGCACCTTTAAGAATATATAATTATATTTAGATATTTTGAATAACGTAAAATATTTGCAATTTAGAACAATAATATTATTCAGAAATAAATTAAACACTCTATATTTTCGTAAATATGTATTTCTGTCTTTATTTATTCGAGAAACAGCATAAGAACTGATTTCTTAAATATATATACCACCTACCGGATTGTACAGCAGGATATGATACATCGATCACAAATAAATATACTGGTGGTTGAGGTGGACGGACCTTTATAT